ATATTGTAATTTGTAAAAAAATTAGCTAATTAGTGAAATATCTCACTTGATATTAATTACAAGTTGACAAAATTATAAAATATACAATGTTATAGATCAATTGCCTTATTACAAATTAGAGATGTTGTTTGTTACAATACAAAATGCCTCATATTTTTTATACATGGATCAAAATTGTACAAAGAAAGCCTCTAAATTATTTAATAATAGATCACATTATCCAAGAAAAGATAAAAAAAATATATGATAATGAACAACTTGAAAGTAGTATTCTAATATACTTAATTTGTGATTCTAGAGTTGGATAGCTTTAGAATTGAAGTTCAATTGTCAATTGTACTTAAATTATGAATCCTCAAAACTTTGATCTTGTGCCAACAAACTTCTTGAATAAAGAAATTCTTAGTTTTCTAGTCCTTAAATAATATTCTATTATATTAAAAAAAACATTATATAGTATAGATGTTAAAGCAGCTCCAATCATCTCTAAATTTTTATTTTTTGTCAATTTTATTACTTTTTGTAGTAGTAAATTGAATTGATATATAATAAGCATTAATTTCTTCAATTATTCTTACATTTGTATCATTGCACTCTTTATTTCAACAAGCTCTACTATAATTATACAATAGAAAAAAATATTTCTAATATCTCTCAAGGTAAATAGAAGAGAGGACTAAATAGAAAAAAAATCTAAGAACAATATCAATTTAGAAGTAGATAATTTACAACTTCTAATAAACTTATATCTTATTAAGAAAAAGAAATAATCCACTTTTAATTAAAAAAAGACAAAGCTTTGATATTATAAGTGTATTCTTGTTAATTTTTTATGAATGAGAATTCAAAGAAGATATGTAAACAAGTGAAATAAGTATCAAAGAAAGATGACAAAATGATAATGAAAAAGTATAAATATTCAAGAAAAAATTGGAATGGCCATTGTCAAAGACTAGAAATTCAAAGACTCTTAAACCTTAACTAGAAGCAAAAAAAGAATTTACAAGAGTGAAGAAGGCTTCATTCTTGTCTCTATACATGCTATCTATTTAAAAGCTACATAATGACGTTGTCGTGTTGTAATACGACTATATGGTAAAAATATAAATGAAAAAGATTTATTAATATTTAGTCATCTTGGATGTTAGAAACAGTGGCCAATTCCAGTGCGAATATTCAGGGGCCAGTTAATGTCACTCCATTGCAAGCTATACCACCAAACGTGATAAGAGCGTATGCTCCACTGGCGTCATCAAACCAAGTATCCTCCATACCGACGGGACGACCAGGATTATTTTTTAACCCTACATGGAACAAGCCTAGTAGGTATATACTGGTGGAGATATCCAATATGCCTAATGGGGGTACAAAAAGACCACTTCGTTGTTTTTGTTGCAGACAGATTGGTCATTATGCTAGTGAATGTCTCAATTCTAGAGTTAGTGATAATTATGTATCAGTGTGTGGGAATAGCAAGCAGTCGGGGCATACTTATCAGTAATATAATGCTCTGTTCAATTTCAATAATTGGGATCAGCAGATCCAAAGCCGAGGAAAAATTGAAGAGATAAATTGAGGTCCTCAAGATTCTCCAATAAATTGGGTGGAATGTGTCTAAGCCGTTCTTACCAAGAGTCGACAAAAGGAAAAATGACCAATTCAACATTTGCGTGAGCTAATGTGAAGGACCAATTTGACCCAATTACGGGGACATCCAATCTAGATCCTATTACAGGCCTCTTACTCAATATGAGACCTGACTCGATTAGGCAACCCAATGAAGTCTCAAATACGGAGGCTTCGGTTCTATTTTAAGTTGTTTCGTTCTCTATGTCATTTTGGGAGAAATGTCCTTTCTATGGAAAGATCCTCTTAGAGGCAGGAATTCCATAGAAGCACGATCTGTTGTTCTAATTCCAAATCCAAGGCAAAAGAATAAGAGATCTCATGGAGTTAAAGGAAAAGAAAGAAAAAATAAGAGGGCATTCAAAGATCAAAGATTTTGGGATTAGAGAGCTAGCATCAAAAGATGTAGAATTGGATTTCATAGGATTTGAAAGGACTTTGCAATCATTGCTCAAAGCCAGTGTTTGTATTGGTGAATTGGATTCATAGGATTTGGGAGGACTTTGCAATTGTTGCTGAAAGTCAGTGTTTGTATTGGTGAATTGGATTCATAGGATTTGGGAGGACTTGCAATCGTTGCTCAAAGTCAGTGTTTGTATTGGTGAATTGGATTTTTACAATAAAATAATGGCTAGTACTCTTGATTGTTTTGTGAAATTGGAAAGACATTTGTAGTTGAAATTTTAGAGGTGTCTAGATGGTTGAGTATGCCAAGTGCATGCAAAAATTTGTGTTAATCTAATGGTACGGATAGAGGATATTTGATCATTAGTGTAAAGAGGTATCAAAAGCTGACATATTGGGGTTGTTTAGGGTTTTTGTAATATCTCGAGATCTACCAACTGGAATAAGGTGAATTTTGACATAATAAGTTGAGAACTTAAAGGTAGAGCTGCACACAAAGTTTGAATGAGAATTAACAATTAGAGAAGGAAAAATTATAAGTTATAGTTCGTCATCAACTTCTAGGCACTGGTCAAGGGACATCAGTGTGGATTTACGATGTTTTCTTGCAATCTGTAAGTTAGATTGGATTGAACTTCTTCAGCATTTAGAAGACTTGTAAAGACATTAGTAGTAGAAGTTTCACAATAATCGGATGGTCAAATTGAGAATTACAGCTTGCCAAAGCTCGCTGTCTAGAGTTAGGATTTAAAAATAAAAATAAAAATAAAAATAAAAAATATATAAAAAAATAAAAATAAAACTAACAATTAACAAAAGAAATTATACTTATAATATCTTGAAGTTATTAAAAATAGTATTTTAAAGCACTTTGTATTGAGAGTAAGCTTTTATATTGAATTCCAAAATAGTTTGTATTTAGATGGTTGAAACCCTCTAGACTACTCGGATACTTGCAAAACATCATTTTATCTTCCAAAGCTAGACGCCCGGTGCGTTCTCAAGCAAGACAGCATGTAATACGACAACGTTCTATAGGACCTCCAAGATGTTTTAAATTTGTAAGACACATGTCTCAACTTGCAAGGCAAGTATTTTATATATATGCTAGATGGTTAATTTGTACCACAAGCTATCAATATGTGTAATATGTGCCTAACTTATTGGCTAAGTATTCAACATACTAATTGCTTGTAGTCATGTATAAAGGTGAAATCGCATCTATGAAGCTTCTCTATAAGATATTATCAAATTTATCTACTTTTATCTACTTCTACCTATTCATATTATCTAAATAACTATAAGAGTAAATATATATGTCTATAACATGACTACTTCAATTAAATTCTAAATAAGAATCTAATTGCATCATAAAATTATTTAAAATTCTAAAAAAATCTAGATTTAATAGTCATATATTTATTATATAATACAAAAAGATAAAGATAAAAAAGATTAATTATCTTAAGAGAAATTTATTTATATTTTAATTTCAGTGATAGAATATGTTATAAAATATTAAGCCAAATAAATTAGCCAATTTGATTAGTAATTATTCTTCTATAGCATAATTATGTTATTAATTACAAACATTCAGGACTTTATGGATCTATATTTTAGAGAATCTAGTACTCACAAGACTTTATTCTTAATATACAACTACTATGTACTTTATATACTTTCTTATTTTTCTACTTATCTTTAAGACTTCCTATGTACTTCTAACTTTTATGACAATGTTTGTACTTATTTACAAAAAGATTATAAAAATACTTAGAAGCCTTCCCAAAATCTTTTTTAAAACCTAGAATTAAGTACATAAAATAAAAATATTATTTTAATAAGATGCAACATAAATACAACATATTTTTTATATAATATGAATAGATATATGTAATTTAAGGCTTCTAATACATTACTATTATGCATAACCTTGATATCTTTTAAAAATCCTATTTAACATTGGATATATAAATATTATTATTATTTTCTATATTATCATCACATCTATTAAAGAAAGAAATAAAAAGATTAAAGTTGTTGTTTGTTTTATGAAAAATGATCAAATTAATAGAATTTTATAATAAATAAATTTTTAAGAAGGTTTATTAGTATTAAATCATATTTTTGCACTTGACACTTGATAACAAGATGTATATATATATATATATATATATATATATATAGATTTCAAAAAAGATAACATTAATATTTTAAATAAAATAAAGTTAAAAAATAAATAAATAATTACAAAATACAATATCACATATATCTATTGTATAGCACCTTTACACACATATAGATATATATATATATATATATATATATATAATTTTATTTAAAATATTACAAAATCCACATGCAAATTACAAAAAACATCAAATTAGTTACAAACAAATTAACTCAAAATGAAATAATTGGGCTCTATTGTTTTTTTTTTTTTTTTTTTTTTCTCAAAACCAATAGAGTACAATGATTCAAAATGAAATTGAAATATACAAACTGATAGATTCTTCACTCAAACCCAGCAATCACTGCAAAGCAACACAATAAGCAATTGTCCCAAATCTAGTTGTTACATACAAATGAGGCGGATAATGGAAAATGCCTCACTCACAAATCTGTCATCGTTAAAGGTATATTCTATTCTTTGGTGGATTGTAGTAATGAGGTGTTATTACTAGACCAGTTCATTGTCAAATCATTGGGCTCTATTGTTATTTTTCTTCAAAACCAATATCCCACATATCCTCCTATTGTGATGCCCACAAATGAATTTCAAAATTGGACAATATATGAGCAATCAATAATTGATTTCACCCCAAAAGACGAACCCAAATACACAGGAATCTCCATCCTCCTTACAAGGATCCCACCGCATTTTTCTAAAAAAAGGGAGAAAAAAATTTAAAAAACTCAATCACGTTTGATTTTTGAAAAGCATTTATTCTGTTCTGAGGTTTATTATAATGAGGATCAGGTCAAAAGCACGGAAAGAGCACGAGTGGAGAACGCATGGAACAGAGGGGACAGTAAATGGCGCACGATGTGGGGAACGCTCAATTGGACCTCTGCTGCAGGCACGAATCCGAAAAAGTCCAAATTGCCCCCACTCATTTGCCTTGGATGTTGCTCCGGGTTTTTCTTTGATCAAAATTCAATTGTGCGACGTTGGTTTGAACGATCTCCAAGTCTCCGAGTCGGTTAGTTTATTCGGTTGGCTGCTGTGATGTCCCAAAAAACTTCTGCTAATTTGTTTCTGCTGGTGATTTGTACTGCATTCTGGACTCATTCTGTAAGTGTTCTGCATCCAAATTTTTGACTTTCTTTTCTTTTCTGGTGGAGAGATCGAGTGAAGTTTTCTGGTATGGTATTTTGGTTGGCATTCTTGTTTATATTCCTGCGTTGAGCTGTTGTAGATTTTGAATTCACTTGCGAATTCTAGGTAAGGTGAAGTAGCGATAATGAGATTTTGATTGTGTTTGCCATGTTTTTGCAATGAACTTATGCAAATACTTTGGAGTCACGTCCGTGTAGCTGTTGTGTTGGCATTTTTTGAACTCTTTTAATGCTATTGTACTATTCTTGTGAAGTAATTCAATCTCACATGGTTTTGAGTTTTGTAGTCGAGGTCGAAACCCGATTGAATGTTCCTACTTTATCGCGAATAGTTTGCCTTGCAAGAAAACTAGGAGATAATTTTTGTGCTTTGGAAATTGTGCAATATGATTTGATATTATTTTTTCACCTTAACTATGTTGATCGAAGCTTTGAGTGGATGTGGATTCCTTCATGATTCTTTTGCAGATATCTTGTCATGGATAAGCTTGATATGAAGCATGTCAGCTTTTTGGTCTCTCAGATTAGAGATTTGTTTTTTTCCCCTAACTATTCTCACAAGTTTTGAAACTACCACCTTGCAGGTTTTGTTATTGGTTTTCTAATTGAAATTTAGACGGCGGTTTCGACCTTTGAAAATTGAAGCTATAGATTTACTTAAAACTGCATGAATGATGGAAACTTCAGCAATTTTGGATATTTGCACCTTGGCTTCATCAAATTTATCTAATTATTGTGAGCGAGATTCAAAGTTATGCAATGTTTGTAAATTTGACGTACTTAAGAGGATGGTGAAACACTAAAGGATTTGTGAAGCAAAATATTTGGTGTATTATTCCGAGAAATCCGGTGGCAATGGCGTTGGATTTAGAAACAGAAAGCTACTAAACGCAGCTGATATGCAGTCAAATAACTAGAACTGTAACTGTGGAATGGAAAGTGCTCCTTCACAGCGTGTATCAACTTCGGAGTAGTCATGGCAAGTTCTATTTGCCAATAAATTACAGAAAAGATCTTCCATAAAAAAGGCTAGGAAAAAATGTAAGAGCCATGCATCTACTTCATTCAACTCGAGGCCTGTCTAATCTCATGGCTCGTCAGCATCTCTTGAGAAAACTGCAAATCAGTAGTCGCATCACCGGCCTTCAGAATCTTTAGAGAAATGTTAAAGTAAATGAAAGATAAGTTAGAAGGTAAAAGATATTATCTTAGATAAGTTGCTAATGGTCAAAGGGCAGCAAAAAGATGAAGAAAAGTTACCAAGGTGGTGGCTAGGATTTTAAGTGGCAGCTAGGATTTAAAGTGTCGACTAGATTAAGAGGAATCTAGGGTTTAATTGGATGAAAGTAAGATGAATATTGGCCAAAATGGATGTAACCTCTACCTATAAGTAAAGGGTGTTGGAAGTGAGAGGTATGTCATTCCACACTTCTCTTGTATCTAACCTTGCAGATTTCTACTTACTTGTGTCTTGCTTATTGTGTTTCTTCAATAGATTATGGATCCACACACACTTTGTTATGCTATTCAAGTAAGTTGAAGTCATTTGCTAGTTGTTATTTTTGCATGGAATAGATCTTATGGTGTTTACTGATGTTAGAGATTGTATGATCTAATCTGGTGTTTTGACTTGTGGAGGTTCTGATTTGAACTTTATAGATCTCTTACATTAGTTTGAAGGTTATTAACTCCTAGGATTGAGTGATTAAGACCTTATACAAAGACCTTGATAGTGTCTTTGATTTTGTCATGAGAAAGTGAGTTTTATGAGTGGAAGAACTAGATGGTGAGATTGATTGGAGTTTACATGCTTGTTAGAAGCTTCAAAAGTTGATTTGGGAGTGTTTGGAGTGAAGAAACATTCATTTGTTCACAAGAGGGCATTCTGAGATTTTGCTAGTACAAAATTGTTTTAGTGATTTTAAGCACATAGAGACTCTTTTTTTTGATATTTTTTGATAGATCTCTTCTAAGACATGGCTTCAAGTGAGGGTGAAGGTTTGAGAGTGATTGAGAAGTTAGAGGTGACAATTTCTACCATTGGAAGGTCAAAATAGAGCTTTTGTTGGCGTCTTTGGACCTTTGGGACACTGTAGATGAAAGTGAAGAGCCTCCAAGCATGCATGCTGATGCTAAAGAGAAGAAGGACTTCATAAGACGTGAAAAGAAGGCTTTTGGCATGATTGCCATTAATTTAGATGAAGCCAACTTTTCTCACATCATCTCTTGCAAAGGACCAGCAGAAGCATGGAAGACTCTTTGTAACATATATGAGAGCAAGAACTTGTCCAATATCATCTTCACAAGAAGGAAATTCTTTACTTGTAAGATGGAAGAAGGTGAAGACCTCATGGCTCATGTCAACAAAGTAAAGGTCCTTGCTAATTAACTTATTATTATTAACAAGCCTTTAGAAGAAAGTGATATTGTCATGACCTTGCTTATGAACCTTCTCGAGTCCTACAACTACCTCATTATGGCATTGAAATCCATCAAAGTAAAAGAACTCACAATGGATTATGTGACGGCAAGACTTGCCTATGAAGTGACTAAGAAAAAAGAAAAAGAGCCCCAAAGTGAGGATTCGGCTCTCTTTTCAAGGCAAGGCAAGGGGAGTCATCCCAACCAATGTAGAAATGTGAGAACTTGCTTCATTTGTGGAAAACTAGGTCACTTTGCTCGAAATTGCTACAAGGTTAAGAAAGGAGATAGAAAAAGTGTAAACAATGCTCGTGATGAATATGAAGGTGATGATTATGCATTCATGGCAAGTGAAGGCACTTCCATGGCTGCCATGTCGAAGTGGATCATTGATTCTCGTGCCACCAAGCACATGACTCCATACAATTATTCATTTGACACTTATGAAGAGATTTCAATAATAAATATTGTCATGGGAGACAATGGCATAGTACAAGCTATTAGAATGGGCTCCATTGTTATAGAGATTGTTATGAAAGGCCAAACCAAGAGGATCAGATTGAAGGACGTCTTACATGTGCCAAAGATGAAGAAAAACCTCCTCTCAATGAGTAAACTTGTTTTACATGGTTGTAAAGTGTAATTTGATAAGAATGGATGTTTTATAAAGATATTGGAAGGAGATCATATTGCAAAGGGCTTTAGAGATGGCAACCTCTACTTCATCAAGTATAAGAAGGTGAATGGAGTTGAAATAGCAGTATTTGCTGAATTTCTTCAAGATCAAGACAAGTTTGGTATTTGGCATCAACGCCTTGGTCATTTGAATGCCAAGAGCATGGAAGAGCTCCAATCCATAGTAAGTGGCTTAGATCTTGGTCATATAAGCCACAATGCTATGATACTTGCTTGTAAAGGTTGTATTCAAGGCAAACAACAAAGGGCCTCATTTCCAAGTGGAGTTGCAACATGTGCAACCAAATTATTGGAGATTATCCATTCTGATGTTTGTGAACCTATGAAGATGCCATCAATAGGAGGTACAAGGTATTTTGTCACATTCATTGATGTCTTTTCAAGGAAAGTATGGATTTTCATCCTCAAAGCAAAGAGTGAGTATTTCACAAGGTTTAAGGAGTTTAAGACACTTGTGGAAAAGCAATGTGAATGCAAAATCAAGGTATTGCGTACAAATAATGGATGTGAATATATGTCAAAGCAATTCAATGATTTCTTAAAGTTACATGGTATTGCAAGACAAACCTCCACTCCTTACACTCCACAACAAAATAGAGTTGCTGAAAGAGCAAATTGGACCATTGCGGAGATGGCAATGAATATGCTTCATGCACAATACCTTGGACATGAGTTTTGGGCAGAAGCAGTGATGAATGCAATATACACAAGAAATAGTTGTCCTACAAGTGTACTTATATCAATGATGCCAAAAGAAGCTTGGAGTGGGAAAAAACCTTGTGTTTTTTACATAAGGACCTTTGGATGCATAGCATATGCAAAGATACTAGATTGTATGAGATCAAAATTTGATGCAAAAGTTTCAAAATGTGTATTTGTTGGATATTATGAAGGTACAAAGGCTTATAGGCTCATGTGTTTGAAGACTAAAAAGATCATCAAAAGACGTGATGTTGAGTTTTTGGAGCACAAGAGTACTTGTGAGCACTTGGAGATGTGTCCAAGTAGAAATAATAGTGTGTTTATGGACACATCTTCAAATTTAGCAAAGAAAGAAGAAGACAAAGACAATGATGGTTGTAAAGGTGGAAATGAAGATGAAGAGACAAAGAAGGTGGACAAGAAGGCCTCTACAATTGCTAAGACCAGTAATGAAGAACATGAAGATGTTGATGATAATAGTGATGAGGATTATGAATCTTTGAGTGAGAAAAGACTATCTTCAAAAGAAAAGAAGGTTGGAGGTGACCATGGAGTGCAACAAGTTGAGTCTTCTTCAAATGAAAGGAGATATCCTTTGAGAGATAGAAAACAATATGGTGAATGGTGGAAGGACCATATTTTTCCTCAAATAAGTAAAGAACATGCCAATGTTGCACTTCTTATTGATCCGTTGAGTTTATGTGATGCAATGAAGTCCACGGATGCTATGAAGTAGGAAAATGCTATGGAAGAAGAGTATAAATTACTCATGGACAATGGAACATGGGAATTGACTTAACTTCTACCAAATCGAGCTTCAATTGGTTGTAAGTGGGTATTTAGAACCAAAACGAATACAATGGATAATATTATAAGGTATAAGGCAAGATTGGTTGTCAAAGCCTACTTTCAAGTTGTTGGTGTTAATTTCAATGAGACATTTGCTCCCATGGCCAAATTCACCACCATTAGAACCATTGTAGCAATCCGGGCACCAATGGACTTGGAGATGCACCAAATGGATGTGAAGACGGCTTTCTTGAATGGAGAATTAGAAGAAGACATCTACATGGATCAACCTCAAGGATTTATTGAAGAAGGCAAACAACACCTTGTATGTAAGTTGAAAAAATCCTTATATGGGCTTAAGTAATCATCAAGAGCATGGTACCAACGTATCGACACCTTCTTTATGAATGAAGGATTTGTGAAGAGTGAGGTTGATCATTCCATGTATGTGATGCAATTAAAAGCCTTCTTGCTGATTGTTATTCTTTATGTTGATGATTTGATCATTTTGATCAATACTTTGAAAAAGATGGATTGATTGAAGGCAAATTTAGCAAAAGAATTTGAAATGAGTGATTTGGAAGAGCTCCACTATTACTTAGGTGTGGAATTTGTGAGAGATTGAGCTAAGAAGATCATTATATTGAGCCAAAAGAAGTACATTGAAGAAGTGTTGAAATGATTCAATATGAAAGAGTGCAAGTCCATTGAAACACCTTCAAAAATAAATTTGAAGTTGATGAAGCTCACGGATGAGGAATTTACTGAAGTTGAAGAAGAAATGAAAGATGTTCCATACAAGGCAGCAATAGGCTCACTTATGTATGCAATGGTTGGTACAAGGATGGATCTTGCATATGCAGTGAGTGTTGTGAGTCAACACATGTCAAAAGCTGGACCAATTCATTGAGCAACCATTAAGAGGATCTTGAGGTACTTAAAAGGCACTTTGAACTTCAAATTGTGTCTTGGAGGTGATAGTATTACATTGCATGGATATTGTGATGCTGATTAGGTTGGAGATGTAAATGATAGAAGATCAATAACGAGATATGTATATTTGTTGGAGTGGGAGCAATTTCATGGAATAGTAAGAGACAACCAACAATTGCAAGGTCTACAATGGAGGCCGAATACATGGCAGCAAGTCATGGTGCAATGGAAGCAATATGGCTAAGACAAGTTTTAGAAGACATTAGACTTGTGCAATTGGGAGCAACTCCAATGAAGTGTGACAATCAAGGATGCCTTGCTTTTGCCAAGAATCCAAAGCATCATTCAAGGACAAAGCACATTGACATTCAACATTACTTCATACGGAAGAAGATTGAGATGGGAGTAATTGACATGAAATATTGTGCAATGGAAGACATGCTTGCTGATTTACTCATAAAAGCATTGGTGAAGGATAGACATTATAAATTGACAAAGGAATTAAGTTTATTAGCCTTTGACCAATAGCAAAGTGGGAGTGTTAAAGTAAATAGATGATAAGTTAGAAGATAAAAGATATTATCTTAGATAAGTTGCTAATGGTCAAAGGGTAGCAAAAGGATGAAGGAAAGTTATCAAGGTGGCGGCTAGGGTTTAAAGTGGCGGCTAGGTTAAGAAGAATCTAGGGTTTAGTTGGATGAAAGTAAGATGAATACTAGCCAAAATGGATGTAACCTCTACCTATAAGTAAAGGGTGTTGGAAGTCAGAGGCATCTCATTCCACACTTCTCTTATATCTATCCTTACTGATTTCTATTTACTTGTGTCTTGCTTATTGTGTTTCTTCAATAAGAAATGAAGCATGTGTTTGGATATTACAGAGGATACAAGGAGGCAAAACAGAAGAGCATCTCTTGCCATGTTTGCGGCAGCAAGCTATGTTTCTTTGTTGCTTCCAACTATAGCATCAGCTGTTGAGCTGCTCAAAATCAATTTTTCCGATCCCATAACCTCCATCGAGGTCATGGAATAGCAGTTTACAGAAAACTTACGGAAAGAACTTGAGGCAGAGATAATGATTCAGGGCCAAGTATGGGGGATTGCCAATGTTAATGCAACCGCTATTCCACCAGCTCAAAGCGAACAACCTCTGAAGGTTGCATCAGTATCAACTCAAGGTAGGAATATACCACTTGGATTGCTTCAAAGAGCAGATGAAGATTCGTTTCGAACTTGGAAAAACTTAGAAATAGGATTAGAGCTTGAGGGTGAGGATTTGCCTGTGCCTCTAACTCGACCTGTGACCCCTCCGTCGCCAGTAAAGGAGGTTGTAGCTGCGTCGATGGCCGTGGCGGTGGCTGGATCTGTTGCTGGGGCAGCATCCACGGCTGGTCGTGCGGTTGCTTCATCTGGGGTACTGCTGTTGCAACATCCTTGACAGCATTGCAGCAATCTCTTCTTCCTGTCTCAAGATTTCTAGCTAGAATAGCCCAACACTTGGGAGGTGGAGGCGTGGCTGGAGCGGTGGGGGCAACGATCGTCTATCCGCTAGATACCATCAAAACTCGAATGCAAGCTCAGAACCTGGTCCGTGTTTCATGATGTTGTCTCGTTCCTTTGTCCAACTTCAAAGAATTTTACGAATTTTCCTTTCAAATCCGCATTAGGTGTGATAGAGACGTGCACGGTAAGCGTTTTATAGGAGTTCGATTTAAGAAACATAGTTTGAAAAACTTATGAATGATCTTGTGCGCACAGGATGGTGACGAACTTCAATACAAAGATGAGATTGATTGCTTTAAGCAGCTTGTTATTAAGGAAGGGCCAGCGTCTCTCTACAGCGGTCTGGTACCGCAACTCTTGGGCATAGCTCCTGAGAAGGTATTTTATTTGATTCACTTTGCGAAGATTGTTATATTTTTGTACCCATTTTCTTTTGCATTGCTAAATGACCGAGTAGTTGCGAGGCTCTCTTGCTCTCTTCCTCTCTCTGGTGCTCTTGCACACAGGAAGGACTGATGGTTGAAGCTTAAGATGCATGTGTCGCCCAAGACTTGAGGAACATTTTTCGATCTTTATCTTTTGAGGATGTCACAGGCTATGAAGCTGACAGTAAATGAGGCATTGTTGAGTAGCCTTGAAACAATGATGCCTGGTTCACGTTTATGGGCGTTGGAATTTATCGCTGGAGGGGGTGGAGGTGCTTCTCAGGTATGGCAATCACATCCCACAAACACTTTCATATTTAAATCCTTGTGATACTAATTGTGCAACCTCCGTTACTCTTTTTTCGTCACGAATTTCTTTTCGCTCCATGCATTAATATTAGAGCACCTGAACCTTATTTGACAAAGACACAGCACTGAAACCCGTATCTGCGTTGTTTGCTCAAGGTGGTATTCACAAACCCTATGGAAATTGTTAAAGTTCGACCTCAGACTCAAGAAGAGGGTGCACCAAAGAAATCCTTCTGGTCTATCGTGAAAGAACTCGGAGTCACCGGTCTTTACGAAGGTGCAAGTGTTGCCCTAGCCCGTGATGTTCCAAGCTCCGCCATCTTCTTTGCTACTTACACACTGTTACGTCAACTCTACACTGAACAAAGTTTTCTTGCTGGAGCCATCGCTGCTATACCTGCCACTATTTTGGTCACTCCTATGGATATCATAAAAACTAGACTTCAGGTATGCTTGCGAAGACCCGGCTCACATCTTTTTGTACATACTTTTTTATCGATACTTTTGCAACCTATCTTGGTGTAATGTTCAAATTGCCGCATGTGTTTAAATTCACTGAGCGTCTTTTAGAACCTTGTATGCAAGGAATGGAAGCATCGTTTTTCAGATTGGGATTTGCGTTTTGTAGAAAGAACCTGCACCAGGAGAGCCACTATATGCTGACTGGTGGGAATGCTTGCAAGATATTGTAAATAAAGCGGGACCGCAAGCACTTTTCAAAGGCAGCCTACTGCATGTTCTACGAACAAGTCCTCAGTTTGGTATCACACTGATGCTTTATGAGATCTTGTGCGACAGGTCATGAGCTCGTGAACTCTGGCCTCAAAAGGTTTGATAGTTAAATTACTGTCCTATTCATTCATCTATGCAATTACGACTATGGGAACCTCCCCGGCTATGGAATCCTTGAAACTTACTGCACCTGAACATACAAATACAGAGGTGACTGACCAAGTGCCTCGTGTGCCATATGGTAGGAACTGTCTATTGTAGTTTAACCCATTTGAAAAACATCAAAGGATCCTTTTGATTAGAGTGCTGACCCTTGATAGTGGCCTGTACCCCAATTCTTCTGTGCACTATTCCTCCACTTCGGAAACCATTTGTAATTTTTTTCGGATAAAGTCACACTCGTCTTGCGCTTCGGTTTCATCCAGTAACATCTTCACCTACTGTGGACCTCGGTATTTGGGGAGGGCCACATCAATATGGATTTTATTGTGTTCACTCTGGGTATCTCTAACACCCTAGTAGGAGATGAAGAAGGCGAAATATCAGAATTCGATCAGGAAGAACCTACTCTAGTTCAAAGTATATTTTGCATCTAAAGCATTCCTCATCCCACAAGACCTTCTCTCACAGTGACTGCCTTCTGATATCGTTAATTTACAACAGGCGATAAGTTTTCTTTTGGAATCATGGCACTGATTCATATTCCTCATTTTGAAGTTCACATCAAAATCTAATACTCAGTATAGAAGCTTGACCCTGTCAACTTGCTACTTTCGAAGAGACAAATATTCTAGAATTTCTGAGTGATGGGAAGAAGCGATTTGATCACGGATGACTATCTAATTGGCAGTTTAGCGGTTTTGTTCAGCATATGTATTCAGAGGACAGTACAAAGTTGTGCATTGAATCACAGACGATGTTGGTAAAAATATTGCTCGAATGGATGTGTGAACACAAGAAACAATTTCTTTCGTTGGAATACTAGCACATTCATACCCATCAAGTAGTGAGGAAGTTCTAGTAAAAAAAGAAGTTCTGGAGGTAAGAACTGGGAGTAAACCTGGTTCCCTGGGCCCACAGTGAAGTTGGAGGCAGCCTGCAGGTTCTGGATTGCATGACCGCGGAGTGTGAGCTCCAAACCCTAATTTCGTCCTACGTGACAAGGTTCTGTTTGCAAAAGACATTGCTTTAATTGTGCTTGCGTTTTGCTGTTTTCCTTAGAGCTCTTAGTTACAAGTCGTGTCACCATGCAGGCTGCAAGGTCATCGACGCTGAGAGCCCTTCATTCGGCTGTGTTGCAGCATCTGCGGGTGCAGCCTGCGCAGATTGGTTCCACATGGGGTCTTTTTAGAGCCATCTCTGCCGAAGCGCACGCACAGGGGACTTGTCTAAGTCGTAGCCAGGTCGCGGATCGCGTACTCTCAGTCCTGAAGAGCAGCGCCAAGGTTGATCCTCTGACGGTACGTTCGCGCTTCTCACTTGCGGTTTAGGGTTCTGTATTGTGGGTTGTCTGAAAGAAGATAGTGATGAAAGGGCATGTGAGCAGGTACTAATGAGGCACTGAATTTTGATCCGGAATAATCAATGCCCAAAATTTTCTTTCTTCTTCGACTTTACTTTGGATGCTAGTCGATCGTTGTTTTAGTGTTGGAACGGCTTATTCAACAGGTATCAGAGACAGCCAGCTTTCAAAACGATTTGCAACTTGATACGTTGGATCAAGTGGAGATTATGATGGCAATTGAGGACGAATTTGCGTTGGAGATACCTGATGCAGATGCTGATAATATGAAGTCGACAAAGGATGTCATAGAGTATGTTGTATCCCACCCGCGAGCTAAGTAGGCTATAACTTTTTTCTCTTTGTTATCCTCACAGCATTGATAGTGAGGAGGCAAACGGACTTTTTAGTTGCCAGCCTACTTATGGGTCGAAACAAATGGCGTCAGCCGGGATTTGGGGATTTATCATTCTCTTTGACCGTTGTATTGAATTTTGAACATAAGTGCGCGCTCAATTGAGCGTCACATTCAAGGTTTCCTCTCAACGTGAGGATAATGTTGGAGTGTAAGAATTTCACTTGTTAGTTGGATTGAGTGCAGCATTTGTCGCCTTATAGCTCCTCTTTTAGCTTTGAAATGGGCCTTCTTTGACTGGTGGTTGGGAGAGGTGAATAGTCTAGTGTGAATTGTCAGCATTTGGCGAAGATGATTTTATCAGCATCATTATAATTTAGTGCATCCGGGTATTTGCTAGTATTAGATCTTCAAAATAATAGAAGCCCAAGGTATGGTATCAAGCAGGATAGTTTTAAAGGTGGATTTGCTAAAGCCTATTCATGATGTTATTTACCTTTTTGATGTTTCTTCTGAAAAGTTAGAAGTGAAAGTGCATTGCAGAACTTCTGGTTGCTGACCCTCAGCAAACTAGCAGGCAGCATTTCCCATACATTTGAAGCTTTCAAAAGCCTTGACATCTTTTTTAGGATAGGAGAGAAGATTTCAGACACCAAATTTTTGACGACATTTTCTTGCTTACAACCATGCAAGACATTTACTTGATCAGAAGTGTAGATGCTGTGGCAATTAAAGACAGTACAAGAGAGAATGTTGGATGAAAGAGTGATAAAACTTTCAAAAGAAATTGTCAATATAAAAAGCTGGAGAAGAAGAAGATGAGACATTTGTCACCAAAGAGTGACAAAATGTGTTGTATTAATTTGAGTATTTCTTAGCATATGGTGGTAAAATTGAAATTGGTTTTAATAGTTTGTAATTCTTAATTAAATAGTATATATAAAAGGAAGAGTGAAGACTTCTTCATTCTTATCAATTCATTTCTAGCTTCTAATCTAGTTTCAAGAGTCTATAGCTTTTTTGTCTTAGCAATAGCCATTTCAATTTTTTCTTGAATATATATACTTTCTCATTATTTTTTTTTCATACTCTTATGAAACATATTTCATTTTTTTAATTAAATTTTTGAAGTTCTTGTTCTTAATAAGATTATATAGAATGTAACAATATCAATTGAACATTTAATATTAAGATTTCTATCTATTTTTCTCTCTCTCTTTGTATATATATATATATATATATAAACATATGTTAAAAAAATATTTCAAATAAATATATATATCATTGATATAGAAATAAAAATTGATTTTTATTTAATTATTATTTTTTAAGAATATTACTTTATAGAAATAATTTAATTCTATTATAAATATGTATATATATATATATATATATATATATATATATATATTTAATGCTCTTATAATAATTAATCTTTCAAAAATTAATATCCTCTTATAATTAATCAAAATTTTAAAAATCAATTCTATTCTATGAGGTGTAATTAATGAATCTTTGATTTAGATAATATATTAATTTTATTAAATTTTATTCATTAATATATGTAAATATTTATATATTATTAGATAAGATATGATTATGGACTAGTTGGGTGACATTGTTGCCAAAGTGGAAAGAGAGCAACTTAAATCTAAATACCTTGGTAAGTTTATTTTCATCATGTCTTGAATGCATTATTGTCATGGACATACATATTCATTCTGATATTTACTTATATGATTAAGTAGAAGTAGGTAAAAATAGATTTATTTCATAATATGCTTTAGAGAAGCTTCTTAGAAGCTTTATAGATGTTGTTTTGACTTTACATGTACTTGTAGTTGATTGGTAGGTTAAAAACTTGGTCAACAAGTTAACCAAGTGTTAGTAACTTGCAAAATAAACTAATTATGTGAAGGTCCTATAAGACGTCACCACATAGCTTCTACTTTGGACTACATATAGAGGCAAGAGTGAAGCCTTCTTCATTCTTGTCAATGCCTTTCTTGTCCTTAGTCTTGTTTCTAGACTTTCTAATCTTCTTATCTTTGACAATAACCATTCTAATTTAATACTATATAATATTTTATTATATATAATTTATGTGTATATTTACAAATATACACATGTAAATCAATAATTATCTATATGATTAGATAAAAGTAAGTAAAAGTAGGTTAATTCTATAATATCTTTTATAGAATCTTCATAGACATTACTTTGACTTTATAGGTGTCTATAATTGATTTTTTAGGTTAGAAACGTGGTCAATAAGTTGGCCATGTACCACACATGTTGGTAGCTTGAAAAACAAACTAATTATGTGGCCCATACATAGAAAACTTGCTTTATAAGCTAATACATGTGTCTTACAAAGTCAAAACATATTAGAGGTCCTATAGAACATCGCCATGTAGCTCCTAATTAGATAATATAGATAGAGGCAAGAGTAAAGCCCTCTTCACTCTTATCAACTCCTTTCTTATTTCTAATCTAATCTTTTAATATACATACTACTTTATTGTTATTTTGTCACTTTTTTTTAAATTCAAATTTTTCCAAGTTTATGCAACTTCTCCCAGTTCATGTCTTTGATAAATTGACAAGAATACACTTACAATATTAGAGCTTTGTCCTCTCTTGATTAAGAGTGGATTATTCATTTTTCTTAATAAAACATAAGCATATTAGAAGTTGCAGATTACCCTCTTGTAAAGTAATATTATTCTTAATATCTTTTTTATTCTCAAGTCCCATCTTCTGCTCATGTTGAGCAATATTAGATATTTATTTTTTAATTATTATTATAGTAGAGCTTCTTGAAATGAAGAGTGCAATGATACAAATATAAGATCAATTAAGAGAGATAATGCTTGCGATACATCAATTCAATTTACCACCACAAGGAATAATAAGAATGGCAAGAAGTAAAGATATAGATATAATTGGAATTGTTTCAACATCTACACTCAATCATATCTCTACTCTTATAGTAGAACATTCCTCTAGTACTAGAGAACTAAGAGTTGCCGTACTTGAGAAGTTTGATGGCATAAGATCCAAGTTTTGAAGATTTAATAATCAAGTACAATTTGTGATTGAACTTCAATTCCAAAGCTATCAAATTCTAGGATCAAAAGTTAGATTTATTGATATACTTCTTTCAAGTTTAGCATTATCATGATTTCCATCTTTTTTTCAATGACGAGATCCAATATTGGATAATTTGAAAGTTTTTTTAACAAAGTTTTGATCCATGTATAGAAAACATGATACAACTCATGTTGCAAGTAATAAGATCTATATTTGATGACAAGACAATCGATCTATAACATTATATGCTTCACAATTTTGTTAACTTACAACTGATATCAAGAGAAATAATGTTGCACTTATTAGCCAATTTTTCTATGAATTATAATATGAGGTAAAAAAATTGATTCTCAACTTATATGATCCTCAAACATTGAGTCAAGGAATTAATTTTGTTGTGAAATGTGACAATCGACTTTTTAAATTTCAATGTGAAAGTTGGACAAGTGAGCCTCAATGTTACTATAATTCAATGGCAACACCAACGTCTCTTCAACACATACATTCAGAAATAGAAGATATGCAAATTGATATGATATGTTTCAAACTTCTTATTGAACAAGAAAAGACTTATCGTTATCATGAAGGATTGTGCTTATATTGTGGAGAACCTAAATACACTACTCAACATCGTCCAAAGAAGCAATGTAATTATAAAATAAGAAGTACTAATGGCAAAAAAGACAATATATCAAAAAATAATTTTGTCCTGCTTGAATAGGGACTATGCAATTAGAACCTTATACAATGCCTAATGAAGGTCCTATTTTTTCCTCAAAATACTCTCCTTGTTTTATATTAAATATTATTTTAGAACCTATACATTACAAATCCTCTATCTTGTTAGATTCAAGAGCCTCAACAAGTTTCTTATATGAAGAATTTGCTAAAAGATTTAGTATATTTTTAATAAGAAAAACTAAATCTGTTCATATAGAAGTCATGGATAGTAGTCTATTATCTTCTGGAGATGTTACTCTCAAAATCCTTCTTATAGAAGTAATAATCAATGATCATAATAGCTTTGTGGCATTTAATATCATTAGATCTTCATCAAATCCAATCATTTTAGATTTGTCATGGTTAAAAAAATACAACCTTCAAATAGATTAGATTTCTCATACTCTTGATTTTTTTAAAATATAAATAAGAGTATAATTAATCAAGTAAAAAATCACAAATTTAATATAATTAAATCCATTTTTATAAGTGCAAGAGCTTTCTTGCATAGTGCAAAAAAAAATCACCTTGTGTCATTTATGCCACACTCATTTCTAATGATATAAAGACTTCAAGTCGCATTTCAAGCCAATATTAAGATTTTCAAGACGTATTTGAGAAAAAAAAAATGTAGATATTCTTCTAGAACATCATTCCTATGACTAATCAATTGACCTTCAAGAAAGAGCACAACCGCCAATTGGACCAACCTACAATTTATCACAAAATGAATTGGTAGAATTCAAGGAGTATATTGAAGAGAATCAAGTCAAGAACTTCACATGCCATTCCAAATTTCTAACAGGAGCCTTAATTCTATTTGTGAAGAAAAAAGATGGATCATTGTGGATGTGTATTTATTATTAAAGACTTAATAAAATCACCATCAAAAATATGTATCTACTACCTTTAATATATAGATTTTTTTATTAGTTGAATCAAGCTAAGATCTATACAAAAGTAGATCTACAAAGAGCATACAATCTAGTATGCATCAAATAAAGAGATGAATGAAAGATTTTATTTTGAACTAAATATAGATATTTTGAATATAATATCATATTTTTTGGACTTACAAATATATCAACTTTTCAACATCTTATGAATGATATTTTTTGAGATTTTTTAGACAATTTTGTTGTTTGTTATTTAAATGACATCTTGATCTATTTTAAGAACATAAAAAAATATAAACTTTATGTTTATCTTATGTTATAAAAATAAAGAGATGCAAGATTTTATACCAAGATATGAAAATGTGTGTTCTACACTACTCAAATTGACTTTTTAGCTTATATCATTTCAAACAATGGATTTATGATGGATCTTAAGAAAATTCAAACTATTATGGATTGAAAGATCTTAAAAATGGTATGAGATGTCCAATGTTTTTTGGGATTTGCCA